TGTAGAGAGGGAGGTCAGACTTACCAGGTAGGGTGAGGGGTTCACAATTTACAATGTAAAGAGAGATGTTTTGACTTACCAGGTAGGGTGAGAGATTCACACTTTACAATATAGAGGGGAGGTCAGACTTACCAGGTAGGTTGAGGGGTTCAATTACATTTTACAATGTAGAGAGGGATGTTCAGACTTACAAGGTAGGATGAGGGGTTCACACTTTACAAGGTAGAGAGGGAGGTCAGACTTACCAGGTAGGGCGAGGGGGCATTATCATCTGACAGCTGGAAGAAGTAGGCAGTAACAGGTATTGTCACATGTTTGGGACAGAAGCAGCCTCCGGCCCCAATCTCTGCTGTAAAGCCACTGACCACCCCAACAGGCTCTATTCGACCATTCAATACAGATTCCTAGAATTAGACAGACAACTTGTGTTATGCAGATTGAACACAAATGTAATGTTAACGGTCAAGCAGTTATATCCATACAACATGAACCCTCTTATGGCATAATATTAAATACCAGTATAAATGTCAATACAACATAAACCAAGAGGCCCATTGGGTCTGTATTACTCACCTGGTATGAATCTCGCACTTGCAACTTTAAAAGTGGACAAAAATAAAGCTACAGGCTAAATAGCATTACCACTAAAGAACCTGTTGATAGATTTTACCACACTTAGTCCCCTGCTACATTGAAAGTCTAAAAAGGCCATTAAGTTAAACTCCTTGATAGCCCTTCATCACACTATGCTACTGGCAACATATCATTACCCTAGGCCTCTTTGCTGTGATAGAGAAATCTCCAACCAGAGGGTTAGACAACCAAACAAACAAACAAGAGATCCCAGAGGGATCTTGGCGCCCACCTTTGTACCATCTTCATTAGTTCTTTGTCAGTTTGATCTTTTCTCTTCTTTCCTCTAATCTGTTTGATCGAGTCATGTTAACAGTGAATGCACCTTGAGGTAACTTTTGATCTGATGTGTATGAAAGCCAACCTTCAAAGTGAGTTTGTCATTTCACATATTTACTAGTACAGTACTTAATGTGAAAGAATTAGAATCGATCATTGCAATATGAGAAAGATGTTTAGTTCTTCTTTTAATCCATTTTGTTTTTATGATCAGTCTCATAATATAACATGCACAACGAGGGATCAAGGGGAACCTACATTTAAAATTTGAGAAAGATCCGTCAAGTTATTCCTGAGAGATAGTACTGACAAACCTTCAATGTCAAAAAGATGGCTGCCTGTCGGCCATGTTGTTTATCCGATCAGTCTCTAAAATTGCCCTGCACAGCTAGGACCAAGTGGACCTACATACAAAATTTCAGAAAGATCCCTCTAGTTCTTCCGGAGAAATAGCGGTAATAAACCTACACTATCAAAATCCAAGATGGCTACCTGTCGGCCATGTTGTTGATCCGATCAGTCTCAAAAGTTGTTCTGCACAGCTAAGGACCAAGGGGAACCTACGTATAAAATTTGAGAAAAAAACCTTTGGTACTTCTTGAGAAATAGCGATAACAAACTTTCACTATCAAAATCCAAGATGGCGGCCTGTCGGCCATGTTGTTTATCCAATCAGTCTAAAGAGTTGACCAGCACAGCTAAGGACCAAGGGGAACCTACAGTTAAAATTTGAGAAAGAGCCCTCTGGGACTTCTTGAGAAATAGCGATAACAAACTTTCACTATCAAAATCAAAGATGGCTGCCTGTTGGCCATGTTTTTTTAAACCGATCAGTCTCAAAAATTGCCCTGCACAGCTTAGGACCAAGGGGAACCTGCATATAAAATTTGAGAAAGATCCCTCTGGTACTTCTTGAGAAATAGCGATAACAAACTTTCACTATCAAAATCCAAGATGACTGCCTGTCGGCCATGTTGTTAATCCGATCAGTCTCAAAAGTTGCCCTGCACAGCTTAGGACCAACGGGAACCTATGTATAACATTTGAGAAAGATCCCTCTGATACTTCCCAAGAAAAAGCGATAACAAAATTTCAATATCAAAATCAAAGATGGCTGCCTGTTGGCCATGTTGTTTATCCAATCAGTCTCAAAAGTTGTCCAGCACAGCTAAGGACCAAGGGGAACATACGTATAAAATTTGAGAAAAAACCCCATTGGTACTTCTTGAGAAATAGCGATAACAAACTTTCACTATCAAAATCAAAGATGGCTGCCTGTCGGCCATGTTGTTTATCCTATCAGTCTCAAAAGTTGACCTGCACAGCTTAGGACCAAGGGGAACCTACAGTTAAAATTTGAGAAAGATCCCTCTGGGACTTCTTGAGAAATAGCGATAACAAACTTTCACTATCAAAATCAAAGATGGCTGCCTGTCCGCCATGTTGTTTTAAACCGATCAGTATCAAAAGTTGCCCTGCATAGCTTAGGACCAAGGGGAACCTGCATATAAAATTTGAGAAAGATCCCTCTGGGACTTCTTGAGAAATAGCGATAACAAACTTTCACTATCAAAATCAAAGATGGCTGCCTGTCGGCCATGTTGTTTATCCAATCAGTCTCAAAAGTTGCCCAGCACAGCTTAGGACCAAGGGGAACCTATGTATAAAATTTGTCAAAGATCCCTCTGGTACTTCTTGAGAAATAGCGATAACAAACTTTCAATATAAAAATCCAAGATGGCTGCCTGTTGGCCATGTTGTTTATCCGATCAGTCACAAAAAATGCCCTGCACAACTTAGGACCAAGGGGAACCTATGTATAACATTTGAGTAAGATCCCTCTGGTACTTCTTGAGAAATAGCGATAACAAACTTTCACTATCAAAATCAAAGATGGCTGCCTGTCGGCCATGTTGTTTATCCAATCAGTCTCAAAAGTTGCCCAGCACAGCTTAGGACCAAGGGGAACCTATGTATAAAATTTGTCAAAGATCCCTCTGGTACTTCTTGAGAAATAGCGATAACAAACTTTCAATATAAAAATCCAAGATGGCTGCCTGTTGGCCATGTTGTTTATCCGATCAGTCACAAAAAATGCCCTGCACAACTTAGGACCAAGGGGAACCTATGTATAACATTTGAGTAAGATCCCTCTGGTACTTCTTGAGAAATAGCGATAACAAACTTTCACTATCAAAATCAAAGATGGCTGCCTGTCGGCCATGTTGTTTATCCAATCAGTCTCAAAAGTTGCCCAGCACAGCTTAGGACCAAGGGGAACCTATGTATAAAATTTGTCAAAGATCCCTCTGGTACTTCTTGAGAAATAGCGATAACAAACTTTCAATATAAAAATCCAAGATGGCTGCCTGTTGGCCATGTTGTTTATCCGATCAGTCACAAAAAATGCCCTGCACAACTTAGGACCAAGGGGAACCTATGTATAACATTTGAGTAAGATCCCTCTGGTACTTCTTGAGAAATAGCGATAACAAACTTTCACTATCAAAATCAAAGATGGCTGCCTGTCGGCCATGTTGTTTATCCAATCAGTCTCAAAAGTTGCCCAGCACAGCTTAGGACCAAGGGGAACCTATGTATAAAATTTGTCAAAGATCCCTCTGGTACTTCTTGAGAAATAGCGATAACAAACTTTCAATATCAAAATCCAAGATGGCTGCCTGTCGGCCATGTTGTTTATCCGATCAGTCTCAAAAGTTGCCCTGCACAGCTAAGGACCAAGGGGAACCTACATATAAAATTTGAGAAAGATCCCTCTGGTACTTCTTGAGAAATAGCGATAACAAACTTTCACTATCAAAATCCAAGATGGCTGCCTGTCGGCCATGTTGTTTATCCGATCAGTCTCAAAAGTTGCCCTGCACAGCTAAGGACCAAGGGGAACCTACATATAAAATTTGAGAAAGATCCCTCTGGTACTTCTTGAGAAATAGCGATAACAAACTTTCACTATCAAAATCAAAGATGGCTGCCTGTCGGCCATGTTGTTTATCCGATCAGTCTCAAAAGTTGACCTGCACAGCTAAGGACCAAGGGGAACCTACATAGAAATTTGAGAAAGATCCCTCTGGGACTTCTTGAGAAATAGCGATAACAAACTTTCACTATCAAAATCAAAGATGGCTGCCTGTCGGCCATGTTCTTTTAAACCGATCAGTATTAAAAGTTGCCCTGCACAGCTAAGGACCAAGGGGAACCTACATATAAAATTTGAGAAAGATCCCTCTGATACCTCCAGAGAAATAGCGATAACAAACTTTCACTATCAAAATCCAAGATGGCTGCCTGTCGGCCATGTTGTTTTAAACCGATCAGTCTCAAAAGTTGCCCTGCACAGCTAAGGACCAAGGGGAACCTGCATATAAAATTTGAGAAAGATCCCTCTGGTACTTCTTGAGAAATACTGATAACAAGAATTGTTTAAGGACGGACGGCAGACGGCGGACCACGGACAGACCACGGACCACGGACGCAGGGTGATTTGAATATCACCCTGAGGGATGAAGATTTCTCTGTCACACCCTCAAGGTAGGGGATGATTGTTTTTCTCCCATCCTATTATTTCCTTCACAACTCCACCGACAGTAGTGTAAACAAAAACACATGTGGGGTATGAATATCTTCATTCACTTTTGATGACGTCACAATTACCGGTGACGCATTTTAATGATATCACAACTGAAAACGTGCTAATCGGCACAAGGCTATCTCCCTCTAGGGGGGTGACAAGCTGATTTTTTTCTGGCTAAAACGGGAGACACATCTGTGAAGGGTGGGAGAAAATATAATCTAATGGATGTCGTTGTTATTTATAAAGCTTCAAAATGTTACAGAAATGATTGTCATGAAATTATGAATACCAGTAGACTCTTTTGGGTTTTCAGTCCTAACATTAGCTTTGATTTGTGTTTTATGTCCTAGCAGCTGCTGTGTTCATTTAAGGACAAGCCAGGTTTTGGTGGTGAAGGACAACTCCTGACAACTGCATCACGTAGGGCTCGAACCCGCGACCTAGTGGATTATGTCCATAATAGTCAAGTTCTGCTCCAAGGAGTGGAAAACCTGACAATTTAATGCCAGTAAACAGCTCCAAGATTCTAATAATATTACAATGATCAACGCTCCATCATACTTTCAAGCACTTATTGAGGTCTATACAAACCCTAATAAAGTGTTTTAACTGAAGATATCAAAATACCTCGAAGTTTCCTAAGAGACAGTTGGTAGACGCTGGTGCACTGGTACTTAGTACTTTGCTGGAGTTGTCGTCGGCAACTCCGGTACATTCGGAATGGAGCACCAGCTTGGAACAGGACAAAGCACTACAAACAGATAACAGGCAGCTCTTGTTCAAAGATATGTAAAAAGAAAAAGTATATAATGTCAGGAATTGCATTGAAATGACATTAAACTTCAAAATGTCAGAAATCTGTTCAGTACCGAGAGATACTGTTTACTTGCCGACTGGGTCACCTACTTTTTGATGGCGCGAGCGTTGATCAGCGTGTTGTCGTAGTCAAATCGTCCCGTGGACTTCCTTTTCACTGGAGCCTATGGAAATACCAAAGATTTTGGATTTTTAATAAAAGTTTCAAGCAACTACGAATCATTATTATTCATATCTGTTATATATAGATATGGTGGAGGTGTAATGTTTCTAAAACTGTGACATACAATGCGCTATATCAATGTCAATATACATAAAAAGGTTCTTATTGAACAACGGTACAAGACTGGTCCCACGTGCATGGAGAACCATCTGATAATACATTGTACTAACATCGTATTTATACACAGAATTACTTTTTAAGACATTTAGTTCTATATATATGGGGCAAAGAAGCAATTCCAACAGTGTGGACAAGTTTAGGTTGTCAAATTTTCGGAGCAATCTGCTCCTTTATCAAGACACAGTGAAACAGGACAGTTACATGTACATATACATCATATATATTACAAGAAGATATAACTGATATACTAGAATTTAGCTATTATATAAAACCAATAGTCCCCTCGGCTAAAGACAGCCGAAGGCAGCAATTAAGCTGAGAGCATCGCGGACAAGGAACGCTGATGTAGAGGACCTATTCTTGCGCAAGATGCACTATCACATAAAGTGAGTCAACGAGAGATATCAAAAACGTGGAACATATTGTGCATGTGGAAATCTGGCCCGGTAAATGTGAGAAATCTCAATTTGCTATGGAATGTCTCATTATATATATATATAATAACACTTCTCATTACTTAACAACTTTTGCAATTATAAAGTTAATTATTACAAAACACACAAAAATAAAAATGAAAGTATTATACAAGGTCACACGGATGTCTGTGTAACTGTTGTCTCGGGACAACATACCATTACACTGAGGTATATGTGTGATATTTTTTTTAATTGATGGTATATGAACATCAATAAATTTGAAGTGAGTTCACTTGTTCAGCCCTGAAAACATGTCTAAATTGTAATGTTTCAAAGAGATTTTCCTTTAGAATGAGAGCCCCCCCCCCTGACACCCCCCACCTATCAGAGAGCCCCTCCAGTCCCCCACCACCCTCCATCATTTTGGACACATGTACAGTAATGTAAGTAAAACACTAACCAACCAACCAGCTTATTTTACTAGACAACAGCTTCAGGTGAGGATGCCCTTAACTCATTCACCCCTGAATACACATTTGAACTCTTCCAATTAAAAGGTTGGAATAGTTCATTATTAAATTTCAGGGGTGAATGAGTTAATTCAGGGGGAGTAACTCTTACCGGACTAGAACGGGAAGGTAGTCCAGTGGAGGTATTGAAGACCATTGCAGAGCTCCTATCCAGAGTCTGGCGGAACTCAAAGATGTCCGACTTCTGTGGCTTTTCCATCCGTAAGCACTGTGTTATAGCTTCCTCCTATTACGATGAAAGCATGGGACATCTGTGATTTTTTAATACTCTTTGATTTTCAAAGGGATTAATTGGAGAAAAATGCACCATTTTTACAAAATTGGAAAAAGTGAAAATATTTTCAATTATAATAACCATTACTTTTCTTGAACATCAAAATTTTATTTGTAATGAAAGAGATGCATTTATGCCACTTTTTTATTTTCTCTAAAAGGAAATTTCTACAATACTCCAAAAGAAAAGAAAATTTGACCCAATGGTATTGGTGTATATATACTTCAGCACATCTCGTACAAAACTTCTTTTGTTTCATTTAACAAATAATGTATTCACTAGTATAACATGCACACTTATACGCAAACCTGCTAAGTTTTCAACAATACAGTTGAAAGTCATAGATGCCAGCTGGTCAAAATGCAAATCAAACTTCCTTATTGCTGGTAATTTCAGCACGTTAACTTTCAAAGTCATCAAAATCAGTATCCCAGCACTAAAACTCTCAAGTTTTTGCTTTTTAATGTAAAAGTTTGTCTTTTTATGGAGTATATAATAGTATTTCAAAGCTTTAATAAACATGTCAGATGTTTGGATGAGCAAATGTGAGAGATTAAAAAATAAACTGTGGTCAACAATACAGTCACAAATACAGTTGACTTGGCAGGTATGGTATTGGTATCGGTCAAATCGTTCTAATGAGACTACAATTATAGCGTATTAATGAAATCACCAACAACTTAAGGTAATAGGTTTGTGTCACCATTTCTCAGTAGAGTTTCTTCAAATTTTGTAGTTATATTGCTTTGAAGTAAAGGAAATGTTCTGCCACAAAAAAAAATATAGGTTGTCAGAATTTTAAAGATTTTTGAAATTGAAATTTATGTAAAAATGAGTGAATTTTGAAAAAAAAATGAAAACCAATTTTTTGAAAAATAATGTAAATAAAAATTAAAATGCCATAGATAAGTATTGCATTAATGCATATCAATTTAATAAAAGCTGAAATTAAAAATTGACATTTTATAATAAAACCATATATATATATATATACAAATAGTAGTTGCATGTAAGAGTTATCTTTCTTGAAAAACTTCATAGTAGTGAACGAAATAGGTAGTCGGTTTCCTGAAGTACAGAAAAATTGACACAATGTGACTCATTGATAAAAAACAGCTGAATTAATGCCTGGAGTGCTTTGAAATACTTTAATATTGAGAGAACACACTGTTCTGTCAATATTAAACATACAATATTCATCAGTTTAACCCTTTCACCACTGTAGACCATAATGGACTCATCCAGATCAATGCATGGAACAGTCTACTAAAGTTACATAGGGGTGAAAGGGTTAAGATTAAACAAATGCAACTCTAAACTCATTAGAATATATGCGGAAATTGTGATACTGTCTCCCTACATTGGATTTTCAACTAGGGATGTTCTTCCTATTTCCGTTAATCAATACACTCATTCGACCTTAAGGTCATTGGAGTGTATTGATAAACGGAAACAGGAAGTATATCCCTAGTTGAAAATCCAATGTAGGGAGACAGTTACACAATTTCCGCAAATTCTAATGTTTAACATTAAACTGATGAATATTGTATGTGTATTATTGACAGAACATTGTGTTCTCTCAATATTAAAGTATTTCAAAGCAATCCAGGTTTTAATTCAGGTTTTTTTTTTATCAATGAGTCACATGTGTCCATTGTTCTGTACTTCAGGAAACCGGCTACCTATTTCACTACTGTGAAGTTTTTCAAGAACGATAACTCTTGCCTACAATTACTATGTGTATATGGTTTTATCATAAAATGTCAATTTTTATATCGTGTATAGAGGATAAAATTTACACAATTTCAGCATATATTAAATTGATATACATTTATGCAATACTAATATATGTCAGTATCATTTTTATTGACATGATTTTGTAAAAATATCGTGTCTTTCATTTTTTTTTCAAAATTCACTCCTTTTTACATAAATTTCCATTTAAAATCCTTAAAATTCTGACAACCTATATTTTTTTTGTGGCAGAAAATTTTATTTACATTAAAGCAATATAACTACAAAATTTGAAGAAATTCTACTTAGAAATGGTGACACAATCCTATTACCTTAAGGAATCTAAAAAAGCTATTGTAAACACACTACTATAGAACTGTTGTTGTTTACTTACATTGTGTAGGTTTCTTTGCAGCTCCTTTGTCAGTATGTGTTTGCACAGAGTTGCTCCCCCTGTCTTCCTACTCTTCGACAGGTTATTTTTATCACAGATATCGTCGCGTTTGGAGGCATCACCATTTACAGATGATCCTCCGTCATCACCTGTTACTACCGTAAGATCACAGTTAGCGTTTGAATTTCCTGTCCAATCACGGTTGTTGAAGTTTGACCCAGAAAGACTAGAATCACATTTTATATCAAGACTTGAGAATCCTCTCTCCAATTCAAAGTAAGAATCGTCCCTATTGTTACAGATTGGAACATCATGCTTTTCCTCACGAGTTACCTCCCCTTGCTGCTCTTTCTTTGCATTTGACAAGCTAAGGTCCGAGGATGCCTCCCAAGCATATGAAGAGACTGGAGGGGATCTCTTGGTTGAAACACCAGTGGATATAGAAGATGAGTTTGATGATAAATGGCTGGAAGTTAGTACATCATTACAATCTGAAAGACTGTTTGTGGGTGTCGAATCGTCAGAATATCCATTTTCAGAATTATCTTCAACATTTTGAGGAATTGAATGTTTCTTGGATAACACGGTCTCAGAATGATCGTTTTCACTACTGCTGAGACTAATTTCACAAGTTTCTAATTGGCAAAGACTAGGCCCGGGTTCTGAAAGACTCTTTTTAAACAAATGTCGTACAACAGAGTGCTTGGAATTTACTTTCTCAAGCTTTTTGGATTGATTTCGGTCCAATTTCATATCGTGTCGAGATTGGGGTTGTGGAACGTCTGTTTTCTTTTTGGTATCATCTCCTATGTAGAATCGACATTGTGTTAGTGGAATGTTATCAAGGGTTGTGCTGGTTTTCTCCGAAACAGGCACATGATGAGATAGACTAGAAAGGTAGGCTTCAATATCTTCAGATTTAAGTGGCTTCACTAAATCACTTATTGCATCCGACAGAACGCGATCCTCCGTTACGGTATCGTACTGGTCCCCTGGGGCGCCGAGGTCAATCTTTCGACGCTTGAAGAACACGGGAGATCCTTTCGTGTTCCCTGTGCTGGTGAGAAGAACCTTTGGGCTTGGTAAGCGCTTCACAAGAACAGAAGGTTCGTGACCCTTGGAGTAAGACGCTTCATGGTGATGATCCGACAAATCGAGAGGGTTTCCCCGAAATGTTTGTTTCATCGCAGATATCTTTTCGGAAATATTACCACTGGGCTTTTCAGATTCATAGCCAAGTCTTGAACAGGACTGACCAGTGTCTAGACTTTGGTCAGACTTCGGCCTCGTTTTGCATGTATTTCCTTCACTGAAGTGTTGATCGTTTAAATTATCGTCAATGAGAGAGAAATTTTCTAGTTTTTTGGTACGTTTTTGAGGTTGACTTTTTGGTGGTTTTCGTAATTCATACTGTGTTTCACAAGCAATGGAAGAATAACTCGACCAGCATTTTTTCCCTTCGATGTCGTCTTTTTGCATCACTGGTGAAGGATCAATGGAAGAGCACGAATCTGAATGCAGACCGCCATCCTTTTGTTTTCCAACAACTTTTGACTTGTCTGGAATCTCGTAGGGCGACGTGTATGTACATGGCTTTGGTTGAGAACAGACAGATTCTCTATCATAGCCTGGTCTAAGTCTGGCAGGTAAATGCTTCTTTACAGGTAGGCTTTGTTTCTTCTCATCGTACACACTGAATGGACTGGCCTCCCCCGCGCAGTGATCACCCTGCTGCACTGGGCTCTTACGTTTACGTGTGAGCCCACCCATGGTGTCCTCTTCAGTACAGAGGAATATTGGAATAGTCTGCTGGCGCGGAATAGACGATACTTCGGCACGTATTGCCGAATGTGACAGGTCAGCGATCGGGAAGTGGTGTTTTTCCGGTAAGGAAGTGAATCCATGACACACTGATTCACCAGGGGCGTACACCCTGAAACAGACAACACATATAATTATATATACCCTTCAGTAGTTCATGCTACAAGCTACATGCTGTCAAGAGTTTTGCCAATTTTGAACATCCTAAGGTAGGATTCCCATATACCATACTCTTATTGGCTGTGTAATATAGACTAATAGAATGTATCACACCTGTGTAAGATAGACTAATAAACTATATCACACCTGTGTAATATAGATTAATATAATGTATCACACCTGTGTAATATATACTAATATAATGTATCACACCTGTGTAATATAGACTAATAAACTTTATCCCACCTGTGTAATATAGACTAATAAACTTTATAACACCTGTGTCATATAGACTAATAAACTATATCACACCTGTGTAATATAGACTATTAGAATGTATCACACCTGTGTAATATAGACTAATAGAATGTATCACACCTGTGTAAGATAGACTAATAAACTATATCACACCTGTGTAATATAGACTAATAAACTTTATCACACCTGTGTAATATAGACTAATAAACTTTATCCCACCTGTGTAATATAGACTAATAAACTTTATCCCACCTGTGTAATATAGACTAATAAACTATATCACACCTGTGTAATATAGACTAATACACTATATCACACCTGTGTAATATAGACTAATAGAATGAATCATATGTTTACTCAGAATATGAGTGTTTTTGCATATTTGATAACTTCTGACCACTCCTGATAGCACTTTCGGTCACCCGTGTGATAAGTTTCTCGTAATGCACCCCCCCCCCACCCATGCGATAACAATTCTCGTAATGCACCTCCTGTTCGGAACACCTCTACTTCTGTATTGGATATGGGAAGCACCCGAAGCGTTCCGAGTAAAATTCAGATTTGCGTTGGGTTTTTGCTTAGACATTGTGTTGAGCAGACGTCAACAAACAAAATGTCAACAAACTAGGGAGAGGAAATACTTAATTCTCAAGCGTCTAGAATACTTGAATTGGATGACCTCATTGATAAGGAAAATGCGGAGAAGAGTGCATGGTTCGGTTGTGACGAGGACACGGAGACATTAGGAGACCCCCGATGTCATGGCGTTTCATCTGCAATGCATACTATAGTAGTAGTCGGACTAATAATTACTGACAGCAGCGATTTGAAACGATATTTATTCAGAATTGACTGAATATCATCTTGTAATAATCTGTTTCAGTTGACATTGTTGATTAAATTATCTAATTGTTTTTCCTGTTGCCTTGATTTTTTGTTATTTGAACATATGATAAAAAGTTTATAATATGACCATTTTGATATCATATCCCTTATCAGCCCTCGGTCCCGATATCAGCCTGAGGGGCCAAAGCTGATATCGGGACTCTCGGGCTGATAAGGGATATGATATCAAAATGGTCATATAATAACCTCTAAGTATCACACCTGTGTAATAAAGATTAATAGAATGTATCACACCTGTGTAATATAGACTAATAAACTATATCACACCTGTGTGATATAGACTAATATAATGTATCACACCTGTGTAATATAGATAAATAGAATATATCACTGCTGTGTGATAAAGAACAATTTCTAACCCTTATAAATATCTAGGCAGATAGGATTTGTGAAGATAATTCCATTATGTCTGCATGTCTGACATTTTAATTCAATTAATTTACTTAATAGGTATTCCTTACCATTTTTTAAAGGTTTATCTGTTTTGGTATACTCTTCTGCATATTTTACAAAACTGTGTTATTATTTCAATTGGCAAACAGGACAAAGTTAATTCAATTTAAAGTGTTAAATACTCAATTTAATAACAGTGTTTTCTAAACTTCATAGAACAAAATAGAGAAGTCAGCAGACATCTGACCACCTGAACAAACAAAACTAGGTCTTACCTGTAAACAACCTGTACCGGCAGATGCCCCCTCTGTGAGGTCAACCAAGAACTCAGTTGTGAGAAGTGGAGATAACTCCGCACGGCCTGTAGGAGAACCCTCCCAGTCACAAATGCAGCATCACATCTCTCCAGTCTTCTATTGAAATACAGAAATTGCCAGTTACATCTTGTTCAGTTTAAACATATTTTATTGACAACATATTGACAAAGGGATTGGTTGGTAAGTTTTTCCAATTTATCAATTGACTTTTCCCGTTACATCTTGTGGAAGATGTGTCTAAGAAAATACATTTCATCACACCTCATCAGACAAATGATAATTTTAAAAAGTCCTGAATACTAGAAGGTCCTCTACTCTATTGTTCAAGAAAACCATCCCAGATTTTTTTGTCCATGACTTTTTCTACATATTTCATAAAAAAATATAAAAAAAATTATGGTTTGGAATTTGTTTTCAGAAAAGATACAACGAAAATGTATTTCTCAACAATATGGATTTCACATATTAAGTAAATGATAGCAATTACAAGCAATTGTAAATATCCTGTATAAAATGGTATGACCATATACAAAACGACAATTTATCACAATTTCAAAACTTCATCAATCTCTTTTTAGGCCAAAATAAATAAGGGTCGGTAGGTTGGCAAATTTCCTTTTTAATATTTTTACTATGCTTAAATATATATATAGAGCACGATTTCTGACTTGAACATTGCTCATCACTAAATGCCCCAAAAAAATTCAGGGTAGGCTTAAAAATTTAGGGTCGGTATGGAAACTGGAAACACATTTTGTGTTTTGGCCTTAAGAATAGTTTACATAAATCTATGAACACATTATAGCTCAGTAAGATTTGACACACAGAAGATATTGTTTTAGTTTACGGAAACACCAAGTTGACATCATGATCAGACTGGTTATCTTACCGTTTGGACAAAATCTGGACGTCCCATCTCTCTAGTAGTGTCATTTCCTCTTGACTAGCCGCGATCGGACCAACCACAGTGCAAGTCTCCAGCTGACCATGATCACAATTTGGCATCAGGAACACATCGATTCGCATCGGTATCATATTCTTTGACAACATGAACATGTGCTTTTTCTGGAGGTCAGTTTTCCGGCACTGTAAGTTTGACAAATACAAAATTACTGTCAGATTGAAAGCTTGGTATTTGTATCATCAGCCTGCTTTTAGAGTCTGTTAACTCATTCACCCCTGATGACACATTTGAACTCCTTTGATTCAAAGGTTGGAATAGTTCATTACAAAATTTCAGGGGTGAATGAGTTAAACAGACTGATTCCCAAATGAACCTTGTTATATATGTTGCGAATCTGTCAGGAAAAAAACAACAAAATTTGCTAAAAAAAAAATTAAAAAAAATTTCAGGTCAATTATGAAATATTCTAATAACTCTGGTTACCTAAACTTATTTTAAAGTGGTAAAACAATTATATTTAATAATTCATTCAATTTTCGCAGTTTATCGACATTCGAAAAAAATCTTTATTCTTTTAATATTTTTATCCTAATTTGGATCCAGGGTCCCATCCCCAAAAACACCTGATATATCCCTTGACTTTGCTACATCAGCTGAAGTTCAGAAAAATCTAACTTTATACATGAATGTTTCTGAGAAAATCTGGAGTCACTTCCTGTAAAAACATATCGACAGTAGTTTACCAAGTACTGTAACAGGTTTGTCACACAGGAGCTTCGACCCCTTTACAGAGAAACAGTGAGGTCCTTTAAGGGGGCACTCATTTTTTCTGTTTCTATGACCACTTTTCCATGTACAGAGAGACTGCAGTACTAGTGGAGCCCCTTAGTTTACAGGTCATTCACTTTTTGTCTGTGTGTATTTTGACCTCTGACCCCTGTACAGGAAGACAACTTGGTCCATTCAGAGGGCACTCAGCTATTGTCTGTTTAATGACATGATCTCTGATCCATATTACAGGGGGCAGTGTGTGTCCTTAAAATTTATTTGACCTCTGACCCCTTTACATAGAGATAGTGTGGGGTCCTTTAAGGGGACATGCACCTGTTGTCTGTTTATATGACCTCTGACCCCTTTACATAGAGATAGTGTGGGGTCCTTTAAGGGGACACTTAACTGCTGTCTGTTTATTTGACCTCTGACCCCTTTACATAGAGATAGTGAGGGGTCCTTTAAGGAAACACTCAACTGCTGTCTGTTTATTTGACCTCTGACCTCTTTACATAGAGATAGTATGGGGTCCTTTAAGGGGACAATCAACTGCTGTCGGTTTATTTGACCTTTGACCCCTTTACATAGAGATAGTGCAGGGTCCTTTCAGGGGACACTTAACTATTGTCTGTTTATTTGACCTCTGACCTCTTTACATAGAGATAGTATGGGGTCCTTTAAGGGGACAATCAACTGCTGTCGGTTTATTTGACCTTTAACCCCTTTACATAGAGATAGTGCAGGGTCCTTTTAGGGGACACTTAACTATTGTCTGCTTATTTGATCTCTGACCCCTTTAATTTACATAGAGATAGTGTGGGGTCCTTTAAGGGAACACTCACATGTTGTCTGTTTACATGACCTCTGACCCCTTTACATAGAGAGAGTGAGGGGTCCTTTAAGGGGACACTCAACTGTTGTCTATTTATTTGACCTCTGACCCCTTTACATACAGATAGTGAGGGGTCCTTTAAGGGGACACTCAACTGCTGTCGGTTTATTTGACCTCTGACCCCTTTACATAGAGTTAGTGAGGGGTCCTTTAAGGGAACACTCACCTGTTGTCTGTTTATATGACCTCTGACCCCTTTACATAGAGATAGTGAGGAGTCCTTTAAGGGGACACTCAACTGCAGTCTGTTTTTTTTACCTCTGTCCCCTTTACATAGAGGTAGTGTGGGGTCCTTTCAGGGGACACTTACCTGTTGTCTGGTTATATGTCCTCTGACCTCTGACCCCTTTACGTAGAGATAGTGTGGGGTCCTTTCAGGGGACACTTACCTGTTGTCTGTGTTTATCACACACATGATCTCTGACCCCCTGTACAGGGAGACAGTGGGGACCCTCCACACGGCCTTTAGGGGACAGGTCAGGGGTTCTGGCCTCAGTCACTAACAATCCTATCTCAGCAAACAGATCTGCGGGAACCCACACAGTGTCCTCCATGTCTTGGCCACCTACAACAGAGGTACCACTGGTCAACTGAGTATATTATGCCACATGGTTGGATAATGATATGTATTTTGGAAAGGGGCTGCGGTGGCCAAGTGAATGATTAAGGCGTCAGACATTTTGCTATCACTAACCCTCCAACTCTTGGTCCCGGGTTCGAGACCTATGTGGGGCAGTTGCTAGGTGTACTGGCCATAGGTCAGTGGTTTTTTCTCCCGAGAACTTTGTCTTTCCTCCACCACAAAAAACTGGCATGTCTTTAAATGATAGTATAGCTGTTATTAGGATGTAAAACACAAACAAACAAAAGTATTTTGAAAAAACAGCCAGTGGCCTTTGCATGAACTTATTCACCCCTGAAGACACATTTGAACTCTTTCAGTTCAAAGGTTGGAATAGTTTATTATGAAATTTCAGGGGTGAATGAGTTAACGTTAGGATACTATCACTTTTTGCTGCTTACTAGTAGCCTGTAATATTACCTCTAAAACAATGACTACATTTGGAAACAGAAAGGAAAGAAAGATTTGTCAGTTTTCTTTCCTTAATGTTATTATAATAATTGATATAAGAAACCATATGATGTCCTACCACCATTGTTGCTTTCTGTTGAGAGAATTATGTTCCTATATTGTACATGATGTCTCAGAGTTAAATAGCATACCTGTCTGAAACTCACTAAATAATATAGACATTTGTCAGTGTAATATAGATATAGGTCAGTGTAATAGAGATATAGGTCAGTGTGATAGAGATATAGGTCAGTGTAATAGTGACATGTCAGTGTAATATAGATATAGTTGAGTGTAATACTAATAGAGACATAGGTCAATGTAATAGAGATATAATCAGTGTAATAGCAACATAGGTCAGAATAATAGACATATGTCAGTGTAATAGAGACATATAGGTCAGTGTAATAGAGACATATAGGTCAGTGTAATAAATATGTAGGTCAGTGTGATAGAGATATAGGTCAGTGTAATGAATATGTAGGTCAGTGTGATAGAGATATAGGTCAGTGTAATAGACATATAGCTATAGGTCAGTGTAACAGGGACATGTCAGGGTAATATAGATATAGGTCTGTGTAACAGAGACATGTCAGTGTAATAGGCATATAGGTCAGTGTAATAGCAACATAGGTCAGTGTAAAAGCAACACAGGTCAGTGTAAAAGCAACATAGGTCAGTGTAATAGACATATAGGTCAGTGTAACAGAGACACAGGTCAGTGTAATAGAGACATAGGTCAGTGTAATAGAGATACTGGTCAGTGTAATAGAGACATAGGTCAGAATAATATACATGTCAGTGTAATAGACATATAGGTGAGTGTAATGGAGATATAGGCCAGTGTAATACTAAAAGAGACATAGGTCAGTGTAATATAGATATAGGTCTGTGTAACAGAGACAAAGGTCAGTGTAACAGACATGTCAGTGTAATAGACATATAGGTCAGTGTAATAGAGACATAGGTCAGTGTAATAGAGACACAGGTCAGTGTAATAGAGACATAGGTCAGAATAATATACATGTCAGTGTAATAGACATATAGGTGAGTGTAATGGAGATATAGGCCAGTGTAATACTAATAGACATAGGTCAGTGTAATAGAGATATAGGTCAGTGTAATAGCAACATAGGTCAGAATAATAGACATAAGTCAGTGTAATAAAGATAAAGGTCAGTGTCACAGACATGTCAGTATAATAGACATATAGGTCAGTGTAATAGAGACATAGGTCAGTGTAATAGACATATATGTCAGTGAAATAAAGATATAGGTCAGTGTAACAGAGACATGTCAGTGTAATATAGATATAGGTGAGTGTAATGGAGATATAGGCCAGTGTAATACTAATAGAGATATAGGTCAGTGTAATAGTGACAGGTCAGAATAATAGACATATGTCAGTATAATAGAGACATAGGTCAGTGTAATAGAGACATATAGGTAAGTGTAATAGAGACATATAGGTCAGTGTAATAAAAAAGTATGTCAGTGTAATGGAGATTTAGGTCAGTATAATAGAGATATAGGTCAGTGTGATAGAGATATAGGTGAGTGTAATGGAAATATAGGCCAATGTAGTTCTAATAGAGATACAGGTCAGTGTAATAGACATATAGGTCAGTGTAACAGAGACATGTCAGTGTAATAGACATATAGGTCAGTGTAATAGAGACAAAGGTCAGTGTAACAGAGACATGTCAGTGTAATAGAGATACAGGTCAGTGTAATAGAGACATAGGTCAGTGTAACAGAGACATGTCAGTGTAATAGAGATACAGGTCAGTGTAATAGACATATAGGTCAGTGTAATAGAGACATAGGTCAGTGTAATAGAGACACAGGTCAGTGTAATAGCGACATAGGTCAGAATAATAGACATATGTCAGTGTAATATAGATATAGGTCAGTGTAATAGTGACATGTCAGTGTAATATAGATATAGGTGCATGTAATGGAGATATAGGTGAGTGTAATACTAATAGAGACATAGGTCAGTGTAATAGAAATATAGGTCAGTGTAATAGTGACATGTCAGTGTAATAGACATATGTCAGTATAATAGAGACACATAGGTCAGAATAATAGACATATATGTCAGTGTAATAAAGATATGGGTCAGTGTAAAAGAGACATGGGTCAGTGTAATAAAGATATAGGTCAGTGTACTGTTAAAAGAGATATATGTCAAAGTAACAGACAAAGATCAGGTAAATGAAAATACACAGGCCTAGGAGATACACAGGCCTAAAAGATTAATAGAATCTTCCCCTACCCTGAGGTTGTGACAGAGAAATATCCAACCCTCGGGGTGATGTTTCTTGGTTGTCTAACCTGAGGCTCTGCCGAGGGTTAGACAACCAAAAAAATCACCCCAAGGGTTGGAGATTTCTCTGTTACACCCTCAAGGTAGGGGATGATTATTTTTCTCCCATTCTATTATTTCAGTCACAACTCTGCCGACAGTAGTCTGCCATGTTTGTAAACAAAAAACACATGTGGGGTATGCATATCGTCATTCACATTTGATGACGTCACAATTACAGATGACACATTTTAAAGACGTCACAATTGAACACATGCTTATCGGCACAAGGCTATCTCCCCCTAGGGGGTGACAAGCTGATCTTTACCGGCTAAAATGGGAGACACATCTGTGAAGGGTGGGAGATACACATGCCTAGGAGATACACATGCCTAGGAGATACACATGCCTAGGAGATACACAGGTCTAGAAGATACACAGGTCTAGGAGATACAGGTCTAGGAGATACAGGTCTAGGAGATATACAGGCCTAGGAGATACAGACCTAGGAGATACACAGGCCTAGGAGATATACAGGTCTAGGAGATACACAGGCCTAGGAGATACACAGGCCTAGGAGATACAGGCGTAGGAGATACAGACCTAGGAGATACACAGGCCTAGGAGATATACAGGGCTAGGAGATACACAGGCCTAGGAGATATACAGGGCTAGGAGATACACAGGCCTAGGAGATACACAGGCCTCGGAGATACACGGGCCTAGGAGATACAGGTCTAGGAGATACACAGGCCTAGGAGATACAACGGCCTAGGAGATATACAGGCCTAGGAGATACACAGGCCTAGGAGACACAGGCCTAGGAGATACACAGGCCTAGGAGACACAGGCCTAGGAGATATACAGGCCTAGGAGATACACAGGCCTAGAAGATACAGGCCTAGGAGATACAGGCCTAGGAGATACAGACCTAGGAGATACATAGGCCTAGGAGATATACAGGTCTAGGAGATACACAGGCCTAGGAGATACAGGCCTGAGATACACAGGCCTAGGAGATATACAGGTCTAGGGGATACACAGGCCTAGGAGATACACAGGTCTAGAAGACACACAGGTCTAGGAGATACAGGTCTAGGAGATACAGGTCTAGGAGATATACAGGCCTAGGAGATACAGACCTAGGAGATACACAGGTCTAGGAGATACACAGGCCTAGGAGATACACAGGTCTAGGAGATACACGGGCCTAGAGATACACAGGCCTAGGCCTAGGAGATACACAGGCCTAGGAGATATACAGGCCTAGGAGATACAGGCCTAGGAGATACAGACCTAGGAGATACACAGGCCTAGGAGATACACAGGCCTAGGAGATACACGGGCCTAGGAGATACAGGGCCAGGAGATACACAGGCCTAGGAGATACAAAGGCCTAGGAGATACACAGGCCTAGGAGATACACGGGCCTAGGAGATATACAGGCCTAGGAGATATATTGGCCTAGGAGATACAGGTCTAGGAGATACACAGGCCTAGGAGATACACAGGCCTAGGAGGTACACAGGCCTAGGAGAAACACAGGCCTAGGAGATGCACGGGCCTAGGAGATACAGGACTAGGAGATACAGGTTTAGGAGATATACAGGGCTATAAGATAAAGGCCTAGGATATACAGGCCTAGGATATATACAGGCCTAGAAGATACACAGGCCTATGAGATACAGGCCTAGGAGACACACAGGCCTATGAGATACGGGCCTAGGAGGTACACAGGCCTAGGAGATGCACGGGCCTAGGAGATACAGGGGTCGGAGATATAGAGGCCTAGGAGATATATTTGCCTAGGAGATACAGGTCTAGGAGATACACAGTCCTAGGAGATACACAGGTCTAGAAGATACACAGGCATAGGAGATACACAGGCCCAGGAGATACACAGGCCTGGAGATACACAGGCCTAGGACTAGGAGATACAAAGGCCTAGGCGATATACAGGCCTAGGAGAAACACAGGCCTAGGAGATGCACAGGCCTAGGCCTAGGAGATGCACGGGCCTAGGAGATATAGAGGCCTAGGAGATACACGGGCCTAGGAGATATAGAGGCCTAGGAGATATATTTGCCTAGGAGATACAGGTCTAGGAGATACACAGGCATAGGAGATACACAGGCCCAGGAGATACACAGGCCTAGAAGATACAGGCCTAGGAGATACACAGGCC